TTATTCACTTTGAACTGTAAAGAGCTGAATAAAAGGTTTGTTTCCAAAAACAACAACATCACAATCAGCTAACTGCCAAGAATTGTAGAGTGTGTGCGTGTGTGTGGTTTCACTGCCGTCAGTCATTGTGCTAAGTAAAGACCCAACACCTGCTGCAGTGGATTAACAGGACAGAGGCAACGGAGAGAGCCAGGATACGTACTGGACATGGCCAGAAGTATGTGGACACATTTCTCTAGACTTGAGTTTTCTTACCAACAGCAGCAGCAGCTCAGCACGGCTGTTCATCTCACATCCAGAATACACCGGTGCTGTGGTTCAGTGTGACCCCCCCTTGTGACCACTGAAGATGTGAGAAGAAGTAAAAAAATAAATCATGAATGAATCGTCATATCACATGTTCAACTGCTGCTCCCTACTGGAAGTTAAAAAGATGATCTAAAACTGATGAAGTCTCCCATTCGGTTGTATTTTAGCAGCAGATTATAAACAGATTAATTATTAATAAGATTAATGAGCCCCCAAACAACAGCTTTAATCAAGCCTTTAAGTGAAAGAGGATGATAATTGATTATTAGATAAATGAGGGTTTGCCACATTCATGATCTGTGACACAACAAAGTTTTCTCATCTCAGTTGAAGACAATGAGCCAAATCTAAACATGTCGTCGATTCTTCTTACACATCTGGCAGTGCATCTGCTGCTGAAGTAGTTAGTTGCTTTAGCTCAGAACAGGCTAGAAATGAATCCCAGATGTGGGGAGTGAACAGATGTGGTCCCTCTGAGGTTAAACTGGTCCACTTGCTGTCAGGGCTGATTACGAGGCTGACTCAAGTCACCAAAGTTAAAAACTCACTGAACTAAATTGGTCACATACTGCACACCCATCACTTACGTCATCAGGTTTCGCTGAGATAAACAAGCTAAATGATCTCAACACTATCCAGAACTGAATTGTTTTGACTGTCACAGGTGCTGATTTGCTTTGGTGCTGAACCCTCTTCACCACTTCAGCTCCACCCTTTCCATCAGGAGGTGCAGGGTTAGTGGGTGGGAGGGAGCCAGGCTTACGATGAGTAGTGTGGGTTCGGATCAGTGTAATTCTGCCAGACAAAGATCCAGGTAGGGAATATCGAAACAGACAGCATGAGCCATGAGCCCACAGACACATCTGAACTCCTCTGCACCTGAGGTAGTAAAGATACTGTTAACAGTTAATCATCAGCTTCGGTGCCAGAACCAGACATAAATCGCAGGCTTCCCCTGAGGACTAAATTGTGCAAAAGTACCTCATTACAGCATCACTTTCACAGCAGCTACAGAGCCGACACTGGAACAGGCACCTGTGATAAACCGTTAAGAAAAATTACATAAGATGACTGGTAACCTATCGTGTGTGTTTTAATACAACTTTAATACAGGTCATTTAGGACACTGTTGCTTGTATTTCATGGCACTGAAATGACATATCGTAACCTAAAAACAGAGAATTCTATAACACGTGTACAGGTTCCTAAAAAGTAAAAGGCGGACATGAACAGTAGCAGTGAGGATAAAGGACACTGAGCCCACGGACTGCTCAGCTGTCTGCAGCTGTCATTAGAAGACTGGACAGACGTGTTTGAAGGAAAGAG